TTCAATTGACGTTTTTTCCCTATTATTAAGACCTTCAACTTGTTTGTTTTCTTTTTAATTGATAATTTTAAGACAACGAACGCAGAACTTTAACTGATTTATATAGTTAAATCTGATATAAATCAAAATGTTGACGTTCAATGACACATATATGTATCAAGGATTATTCATGCACATTACAACATCAAAACAAACAAAAAAAATATAATAACGATCAAGAAGGCAAGGCGGCGTTAACAAAACGCAGTCCCGACACAGTCCAGCCATATCAGCAGGGAACCCAGATGGAACGGAAGTTAACGTTTGGAGAGGACACAACACGTCTTAGATCCTGCTACAGTTACAATATATCGTTTGATCTAAGACTAATTCTTTGTCAAACTATAGATGTTTTGAAGACTGTCATGAAGTGTATTACTATTATATATATTAAAATCATTGTGATGAACAAATTGTTGAATTTCAAACATTCTATTTTCGTTTGCAGATATAAAAAATCTTTGAAGGGAAACGTTCTAGGGCATAATTTTAGATGCTGATTTAAAGACAGAGCTTTTAGCAGGCATCTCGTTTTTGAGGTGATGATACAAAGTATTTATGATGAAATATTTTGAAATATATATTCTTCTGTCTTTTTTTTGTAGTTCGTTTAATTTCATACCGTCTTCTCATTAGAAATAAAAAGCATCATTTCCTGCTACCTGTACGACATGTATATATATTTTTTGATATTTCTAAGAGTCTTTACAATCAATGTTTGTATGTTGTAAATTGTTTGTATGTTGTAAATTATCAAAGAATGATTATAGCTTAATAAATCATTTTAATTTAATAAATACAAAACATGTTTGCTAGACAGAAGTGTCAATATTTGCAAGAAATAAATTGAATTTAAAACATTTCATTTACCTTTGTTTTCCCAATATTTTCCTGCAAATGGTAATGACAGTATTTCTACTGATAATATCGATTCGAAAGATGACTTTGCCAATTTCATTATTCTTAAAATTATCATGGCTTGCAATTTAAATAATATCCATAATTAGGTTATATGTTTGCACCAACTTAAAGATGAAAACATCAGTTATCATTCAAAACAAATAATACAACATTATATTTGAACACCTATTAATTATTAAATATATTATTTGTTGATATTAATGTTATTCAATATTGTGTGGCCAATATCATTTTTCCCATTAATTAAATAAAAGTGATGTTGACACTTCATATGGAAAAAAAACATTGCTATTTTGACCACGGGTGTCGTGTTTAATAATTATAAGAATAATAAAACGGTATAGTACAGCCGTCAAAACGTAAACAGAAATAATTGTTTAGTAAATAAGAACATGGAACATTTATTGCAACAAAAAAATAAAGAAGATAAATATCATATTGTGGATATTTATATTACCACAACACTATTTGATGCGCGTCTTTAGTTCTAAGTTTGATTAATTCATCGGGTTCCAATTTAAATTGATATAAACAAGCTAATATTTGTTTGTAATTTTTTGAATATCGACATTTTCCTATAATTTTAAACGCAATAAGCGTTATTGGACTTAATACCTCTGTTAATGAGTCCAATTCATTTTAAAATTTGTAAAATGATATATCCATAGAACAATAAAAATTTTTTAATTGGGTAAGCAAAATAGAACATATCAATTGGCATAGCAAAAAAATAGGAACTTGGTTCCTGTACATTTTTTTAAAGGAATAATTCTTAATGTCATGATCGTTTAAATGTCTAAATGTTAAATATACCATATTTACTACATTATCTTTTAAGCTATGTCATAGATTCATATTTTTGCAATAATGCAATATATATAAACATTATCAGCACTTCATCAGTTGACCTTTTACAAGTAAAAAGAAACAAGAAAACAAGCGTTTAACATATTACTTTACTTCAAGCATTGGTTTATGAGCATTAAATGAGAATTAACTACCCCAAACCACACCTTTGGTTGCTATAATTTGCCTTGCTTTAAACTTGAGTTTGATACTTGGTATAGCGCTTTACCAAGATGTTATAATATTCACATTGAAGTATGTGGCATTTGCCATAAGAGCGCAAGCTGGAGGAAGTATGTGCACCTAAAGGCAATACAATATCGTTTTGTTGAACACTTTGTAAATATTTGTATATACGTATAAATGTATTATGGAAATGGTATGACTCATACTGCAATGGAAATTTGGTTTTTAACAAGCTGAATATAACACGGCGATGTATATAGAATAGCCAAACACCAAATAAAAGAAACAAGAAGGAAACAAGCTCAATAAACAATATTCTATTGTAACTGTAGCAATTTGCTGTAAATGTTGCCACAATGTCATACCATTAATCTAATAAATATTTAGTCTATTAAAATCATTGAGTTTTCAGTGTTGTACTTTTGGGATAGATGAAAACGAAGTTTATAAGTGCAAAATTTAGATTCGGTTACATAACGTCTGAAGACTAAAACTGCTGCTTTACTATTGAAAGGGTACATGAGTGATTATTTTGCAGGAAAATTGTATATTTTTGTTACTTTGATTCAAGAGCAGCGTGATAAATAGTTGTCTTTTAATTGTCTCTATTGAATAGATCCAAACTATTTGGTTGCATTCCTTTTGTTTCCATTCATCTTTAGTTATATCTAATCTAACATTGTTTCATTATTTAAGTAGCCATGATAATAGTAGATGTTGAATTCATTTTAATATTCCAAATCCCAATGTCAAGAACCTATTATGAACAAAATAAAATAAAAGTGACAATTCAGTATTTTTCTCAGTTTCATTTTATTACATGGCTATGAATCTAATGTCGAACTGAATCTTTTAATAGACGTACACACAAAGTTAACGATAATGTTAAATTGGTAGTTAAGACGAAGATATAGATACATTAAACAACTAAAAGTAGATCAGAATTAATCAATAACAAAGTTTAATAAAGTATTTATCAGTTTATCCAAACTAATAATGAACATTTGCTTGTTCTTTTGAACTATTTAATGACACTGCGTCTTTATTTATAACACACACACAAAAGAAAGACAGGAACAAGAAAGAAACGTCAAAAGTAACGAATTCGAAAACTAAAGTGCTACGGAAATACTGAAATGAAATAATTAGTTATCAAGTTGTTATGATAATAACAACCGATTATGATGCTGCATAATAAAGAAGTTACGACAATTTCTTGCATATCAATCAGGATAATCCACTGTTTACAACGGTGCTAGAAAAAAAAACCGTCTTACAACCCTATGTACGACAGGTCGCGAGCTTTAAATGACGTCATTGACGCGCGCTATTTATAAATGAATTGTGTTCTAAGTATGACGTCATTTTACCGTTATGAATGAAGTTTGTAAGTTCGTACGCTACTGTAAGAAAAAGTGCGTTATGAAACTGTCAGATTTACTAATTTCTGTTCCGAAAATAATTGACGTGTAATATGCAAGAAAAACAACGGCTGCCAGTACCGACCAGAATATCTTGCTCTCGAGTAACTGTTTATCAGAAACTTGACAAAGCCTAGTTACCGCCGTAAACAGTTACCTTCGAGCTAGATATTCCGGTCTGTACCGGCAGCCAGTGTAAGATTCTTATAATATGTCCGTTTGCGAACAACATCGTACGCCACTCCATTAATTATAAGCATATCCTTTAAAAAAATTGAAATATATTTTTAATGCACTAGCGATAATTTTGTTTTTACATTCAATGCAACTGAGAAACATTACCGCTTCAAAAAAAAAAAAAAAAAAAAAAAAATAAACAATAAACTACTGATCTAATTTTAAAACAATAGAGAAATAAATATTTTTATTTTATGCTTTTCAGTGGATTACTGATTTATCCATGAAAATTATATTTGATAATTTCACAGTGAAAATTATCAAAATAAAATTTCACACTTTTCAATGACGAAACTACTCTTAAAGATTTTCCCCAAGTGGTACCTCAATTTTATTTTTGCTGACAATTCTGACAGTGTCAGGCTGTTTAAAGAAAAGCAAAGCTGAAATTGATAAATAACTTAAATGTCAAAAGTAATAAAAAGAAGAAAACTTATTTCTATTCATTCAAATTCCAATCACCAAATTTCGTCTCTAATTTTTTTGTTTCATTTTTACAGTCTGAAAAATACATTCTTTCCCTATGCAACTCTGCTCTTGATGACATTTGGGCATATTAAAGTATCCTACGAGCAATAACTGCCGTATGCTTTATGAAAACTTGAAAAGCAATGACAGCCATCAGCCCGAAGAATAAGTAAACAACCCAGCGTTCCTGAGCCATCCTTTGAAGTTTTCCATTTTCCTTGCTGCTTTTTTAATGTTTTCACATCTATCAACACTTATTTTTTGTCTGTTAAATCCTCAAATAAGTTTACTTTCTTTTAAAAAGGTATATGACTAACTAATCCAAATGATATCCCTCTAAATCAAACACAATTATTTTCCTCCCTTGAAATACACAACTTTAAAAAAATGGCTGCCGCTTACATTTTACAAAGCCTGGTCTAATATAAATTCGCAGTAAGTAACTGAAATATGGATGGATGGATGGTTAGACATTTTTTCTACAAGAACTGTTTGTTTTTATTATTAAAACTAGCGATCGTTCATATTTTTTTAATAAAATGAATAATATCACCGTCATTTAACGTTGATTGTCGAACTTATTTTTCAGCTCAAGACTTCTTGTATTAAATGAGAAATTCCGACTAAATGGGGCTCTCAATGGGGAAAACAGATTTTAATTCTGACGTTAATATTATGGAAATTTCGTTTTAACTTGTTTTTAAGCATAACATAAAAAGAAAATCTGTTTGTTTGTTGTGTAAGATGTAATTTTATTTCATCTCGTGAACTTTAAAAACAGTATTCTTACGATTGGCTACGCCACTCGTGAGAATACTGTTTTTAAAGCCCACGCGATGAAATAAAATTTCATCTTACACACAAACAAACAAATACCCTCTATATATTTGTGAGCAATATAATTTGAAAACAAGATATTGAAAATAATGTTCAATAACAAAAAGGTACATGTAAAACAAAACATTACGAATTTGTATTGTTTGTAAGCTCTGATTTGTTTTATTCAGAACAATTTCTTTGATAATAATCTACCGTTAAGATATCGTGATACGTATCCGGGTGCGTCAAAGGAGTAATTGCCAGTGTCTTACATCGTCCGAATCCTCCATTAAAATTGAACCCTCTGCAAACTGTGTTGCTTGAGCAAACTGACATGCAATATTCAAAAGAAACAGGTTCGTCCAAAAAGATATATGGGTCACTTAGCATTTTGTGTTCGTGCTTGATATAGGTCGACCCATAGCTGTCACATTCTGTAGAAAAAAAGTACAAATGTTGAATTTGTAATTAAAGTCCGAATAAATCTAATGATTGTGTCGTTTAATATGTGTTATGATGAAATTAGATACACCCTTATTATACTGTGATATTGTTATGTAACGATTCATATATATAACTAGCGTTTGTTTTGTTCTTTCTTTTTTTTGTTTGTTTGTTGGGTTTACATCACAAAGTAGAGGTAATATTCTTTTGATAGAGGAAACCCTCAGCCTGAATGGACACCTGTGTATAACCACTGACGTTCGTAAGGTAGCTAGATAGATTCCTTATATGAACAATCAATAGTCTATACTTGACTTTGACTCTGTCCTTTGACTGTATTTGAACCCACAGCCATGGGTATCAAGTAGTTTAAAGTCGCTGACCTTACCACTCGGCCACGGACGCACATTTAACAAAACTATATTGGCTAATGATACCTTTGCGAATTGTATATTTTTCACATTATCTGTAGTGCTTCTTATTTTTTAAGAAATCGAATATATATTTGTGTTATTGTAAGGCTGATAGGAGGATGTTCCTCGACCCATATTATGCCAATGACGGGGAAAATAAATGGGGTTACCCCTTAACTGGGCGCCCGAAACTGAGAAAAAAACAACAAAAACAAAAAAACAAGCTATATTGGCGGCAGCAGTACATGTTTACATTTTAATAATACACTTGCATTTTTTGTAAATTACAATAAGCCTTCATACATTGTAATTTGATTTTTAAAGTCACTGTTATAAAACTTTGTTCATGTTTGTTCATGTTGTGACATTAAGATACAGAACAATCTACATTAATGAAATAATGGCCAATGTATCAATACATTATTCTTATATCATCATTTAACTTCTACAATGATTAATGATTTGAAATACTTATTGATACAGATTACTTCATTATAAGCTATCAATAAATATACCTATGACACACATTCCAGCCGACGAGTTATAGCTGTAACCGGCCTTGCAAGAACATGCTCCTTGATTACACACGCTTGCATTCATCGTACATTCGACTGTAAAATTGCACTGAGCACCAAAGCCTCGTTCCAAAGCTGTAAATGTTTATTGAATAAAGTAAAAAAAGTTCATTAATGCAATGGCGAATAGTTCTAAACAACATGCACTTTTTGGTCACATTATTATTACACAAGAGGGCAAGTCGTGTTTGATAATATTTAGAAATACATTTTATCGAACTAAAGGTACTTCATAGTTACTAAGATTTTTATATTATGCCGCATTCATTATTTCTTCCATTATTCTAGTCTGACCTAAACTTAATTATGACGAACAGATTCTTTTCTTGATATCATAAAAACTTCACCCATTATATGATCGCCTATGCTATAATTTAAGGAAACAATAAAAATTAACAATATAAAAACCATAAGTTTTGAGATAAAGCATTACCTTTCTTTCTGTAATATGCAAACCCCATAGAATCATTACATGTCACATTCGGTGACAGAATCCCTGGTACACCTTTACAGTATTTCTGTTGTTTGCTGTAGAAGAAACCTCCGCAAATTGTATCTAGATGACAGTTGTTTGCACATTCTTGTACTGTCCTCGATGAACCAAATTCTAAACTGGCTTCTGTTGGACACACAACATCAAGCAATGTTTCATCCTTGTGATATATGTTAAAATCTACAGCTGTCCCTTTAGCTAGCACTACGATTAATACAATTAATTTGGTGTTTATATTCACCATAGTGACGAAGTGTTAATTCCTGTGAAATTAAACACTGGTCTGGAATCTTATTTCACCTTTTCCTAATGATAGCTTTGCTTTTAAACAAGTTTATATCATCTACAGTTATATAGATATATTATTATGTAATCCGATAATATAATACTTTCTTTTTGACATAAAACACAAGTATTTTATAGAGAGATTAAGTTAGTAGGCGGGTCTACAATTGTAGAAAATCACGAATCCAGAGAGTGTTATTAAAATATTCGTTGCAAATTAGAGACTCCCAATAAATACATTTGAACGAACCAAATAATTTCTTTTAGAAATATTATATAATATATGCGAATGTTTGTTTCGTAAAGTAAAGAAATAATCCTATAGATTTTAAACGCACCTATTCCTATAAACGTTAAATATTATTATTCAAAGTATTCATTTAAAGTAACATATTGTTCTAAAAGCTTTAGCCCACAATTTATTTACGTCAAATGAAAAAAGCAAAGCACAAATGAGCCGCATCACGACAAAACCAACATAGTGGGTTTGCGACCAGCATGGATCCAGACCAGCCTGCGCATCCGCGTAGTCTGATCAGGATCTATGCTGTTCGCTATCAGTTCCCCTACTTGTAATAGAGTTGGTAAGCGAACAGCATGGATGCGCAGGCTGGTCTGTATCCATGCTGGTCGCAAACGCATTATGTTGGTTTTGTCGTGACACGGCTCAAATATTAATTATTTCTATTGCGACGTGCATGATAAGTAATTATTGTTGGGTTTAATAATTTCAACACGTCAATACAATTTAATTAAATGAAAAAAATCTTGAATGTTAAATAAAATAGAGTTTTATTGGAACTAGTTTAATTGAGGTGTTGTACACTGAATTGTTTATTTTTTAACAAAAATGTCATAAACAAGAGCCGGTGCGCTCGACTATTCTCAGTGCTTGATAGTAAAACAAGGGCCTGGATAATGTATAATTTTTAATTTTTCTTATTACAAAAAGGGCCATCGTTCTGTCAAAATTCACAATAACAATAGTTCTCCCTATTTTTCGAATAGTCGAGCTAAAACAAGGGATTAGGTCAATCTTAAACACGAATCTGTCATAGAATAACATATTCGATAGAACAGTACAGGACAATTAATATTAATAATTGCTATGACCTATTTAATAGAAGCATTTCGAACACCAGCTCAGTAATATATAGCTTTATACGGCATGTTGATCATATTTGCCATGTATGATATTATATATCTATATCTAAGTCTAGTATATATTAAATGGTCATGATCTAAATTTGATAAAGACATTCTATTGTGTTTATTTTCTACTATAACATCGTGATGATTTTAATGTAATATGATACACAGTTTTTATCAATTGGCATGCAAATAACACTGATTCTATTGTGCTATTAACATACATGTATATATGCACCAGCATGCTATATCATTTGATGAATATTGTGTTATCAATCAGAATTGAAAAATTACGTCAAGTATCTTGACCATAAATTTTATAGCCAAGAAGTGGTCGCTTGGTCGTATTTTCATGCTTTCGTTATGTCTTGTGTAGTTATAATTGCTATGGGGCGAAATTTACATGTATCTTTACATTATTTTTTTTTAATAAAATACGTATTATTTCTGCTTATAGTTTGATCCATTATGCGACATAATTTTCATATACATGTATTTATTATGTCTAAGTGACCGAATATAGCAAATAAATATCGCATCCACTGTATATGGTTTACGTTTTAAATCTAATTACATTAGAATAACCAATTTATTAAACGTTTATATTAAAAGTGACCCTGTTGGTGTTACACGTTCCAAATAACTTCTGTTCCAAATAACAATTTACGACAATATTTGCAGATAAGATTATAAGATAAGATTAATTAACTCGAGTATTTCGTATAAAAGTAGCATACGAGTACATTAGTTATATTACTCAATTTTAACAACTCATGTTTTAAATGTTTTAATAAAGTCTGTATGTATCAATACAACATATCCAGTGAATATGATTTATAATTTGTTCATTCCACAACTTTTTGAACCAATGAGTCCGCATATATTTTTATATCATGATAATGAACGTTGATATTAAACCTAAATGCTCGTAGCAGGAAGAGTAACATGCTCGCGGTTATTGTCAATAAAACGATGATTTGTATACCCTGGCCACGATTTTCATGTGTATTTCAAATATAATTGATTAAAGCAACATAAATGTATCATTTTAGATATTATTACAAAATATTTCTTGAATAAAGATGGTGACACAATTCAAGTGATTTATAATAGCCGTGTCACGACAAAACAAACATAATGGGTTTGCGACCAGCATGGATCCAGACCAGCCTGCGCATCCGCACAGTCTGATCAGGATCCATGCTGTTCGCTATCAGTTTCTCTACTTGTAATAGGGTTTGTAAGCGAACAGCATGGATCCTGATCAGACTGCGCGGATGCGCAGGCTGGTCTGGATCCATGCTGGTCGCAAACCCATTATGTTGGTTTTGTTGTGACGCGGCTCATTATGATGAATGGTAATATTTTGTTCTAGAACAAATTACAATCAGCTTTATAACGATACGTCATATCAGATAATGTATCTCGCATATATAAACAACACACATTTGTAATTATGTCACATATATGATACTAAATTTCAACATGATTATAAATAGAACTACAAACCTCCCATTAAGAACCAATTCACAGTACATTGTAAGTCTTTCCATTATACCAAAACAAATGATATCAGGCTAGCTTCTTAGTTGAAAAAAAAATAGTGATAATTTATAAAACATACATATATATTTACCTCCAATCATTCGAACAAGTGTGATTCTTAATGTGTTTTTTTACAGACGGTGCTTGTCAGTTAATATCTAAAAATATCTGAGAAGTTTTGTGAGAAAAAACGGTTTCATATCGCGAAAAAGGTTAATGTTTTAGATGCATACGTTATCTCGTACATTTTCTTGCCAAATCTCCGTGTTCATCAGTATATATTTTTAGATTTAAGAAGTTTAATTTTTATAAATCTAAAAGTATATACGTATATGCATGAGTCATCATATGGATCATATAGATTTTTTATTCCCCGTATGTTAGAAGTATTTAAATAATCATTCATTACAAGCTACAATAAACAAATAAGATTGTATTTGTAAAATATGTTGATAAACTTTAAGAACAACTTTCAATTTAATTTTGAATATACTACAGTACATTGTATGTGCTCCAGTTAATGTAATATTATGTATGAAACTGAACTTTAAATTTATGTTTCTAAGGTTTGGACCTCAATGGAGTTCCACAAAGATATTAAGAAGAGTAAGGGTTTCCCATTATAATTTAAGCATTAAAATTACAATTCAAGTTACTATTCTTTTTAAATTGCACCCTTTATAACTTATCGAAAAAAAGTAAATTAATAGCTCCCCTCATTATTTAAATCGACCCTGGTGTCACGAATTTTTGCTATTAGAAGTTGATTCCATTTTGTTTGAAGGCAATCGGTTTTATGGTAGTTTGAGATGAATGTTGATTTGCCGAATACTGCGACATGCATTTTAACACGGAAACTTTCGTCGAGGTATTATGGGTCTATTGATGGGAATGCAAACGTACTGGTGGGTCAGACGAGGATATTGAAGCAATTCAACAAAATAGTAGATTCATCTCCCAATAAATCAATTAACAATAGCTCTTTATTTATAATCTATGTTAAGTAGCTTTTATATCTTTGACTCGCATGAACATGATGTTAGTGAATATCCTCATACCCTATGATACCTGTCTAAAATACAGGTAACAGTCTTCCATTGATAAATAATGTTTTCAAATATATCAAAATTCCATGCAAATTTATTCATCATTTTAAATGTACCATTATGTTTGTACGTGTATAACAAAAAAAATCCTGAATTTGGTCTTTTAGAAATTCATCCCAAATTTTTTCATTCGAGTGTGTGTTCTTCTTTCAGTATTTATCTGTCACTTGTTACATTTCTTGCTTGGGCGACATTTGATGCTTTGCGTCAATGCCTTTCTTGTTTAACATGATATAACATTTAGCGCGAAACATGTAACGGACATTTTGAAAAAATAAAGTCGATTTGGCTTATTTACATGTTGAATTTTAATATTTCCTACAATAATTAGTTTTTGATATTTGTAGAAAGTGAGTAGCATTATAGGTGAAAAAGAAAATGTACATGCTTTGATATTTTTTATCATCTAATATTACTGACTACAGTAGTGACACAAACAGAACAATGTTGCACTACTGTAATGTCACATTACATTTAAAAGTCTTGTAAGTCTTGTTTGTATTGGAATTACTTTCCTTACCAGGTAGGCATCAGTGAAAGCATATTATTTTTAAATTTAATATCTGGCCCCTCTGTCATGGACAGAACATACGATGCAAATCAAAATGATCTACAAAACATCCGGAATAATGTACACTACGCCTTAATCTAAATAGAAAATGACTTGTGCGCAGAAATGATTTGGTAAGGTATCTGTAATATGAGCGCATTTTTTGGCGCAGAGCTTCTGAATTGCTGCATTGCAGCAACATTTGTATTGTTCATTGATGTTCATAGCCAGTCATACAGGCTGATATAGTTTCTGCATATAATCAATATATAAATAAAACATTTAACATATACAAACATAAGATGTTTAAGTTTTTGCGTTTTTCAAATTTCCTTTAAAACGCACCAATTACAGTGATGATACATGTTTACCCTATATGAGACCCGGGAGAGAGAATCACACGTTGCTCGAGCCATTTTGTTCACCTGTTGATTTCTTTCAAAAAGCAGTACGCCAATCAGATCAGTTGTGATAATAATGCGGTCACATTTACAGTTCAAGTACTTCTCGGTGATTAGTTGATATATCGGTTACCTTATCAATAAGTATTAAACACGTACTGCTCAATAATTTTTCACGTACTGCTCAATAATTGACTGGCACAAATAT